CGATTATTCCCGCTTCAAAAATACCGAATTCGCCTCCAGGCAAAATGCCAGATCAAGCATGGAGACCGGATATTGGATAGAAAGCGAGCTCGACAGATTTGGCTCCTGTTCGCTGAAAGCCCCAGGCTGATCTTTCTCCGTGTGTTCCTTTGAGTTGTAGATAATAAATCGCGGGAATAATCGCGACATCGTCTGGCATATCGGGATGGAGAGGTTTGACAGGAACTTTGAAAGCTTGGGCCCATAGGATTTCTCTCCCATCTCCTTTTCAAATAGATCTTGCTGAAATCTTTCCTCTTTCACATCATTGAGAACGATCTGCCTTGAATCTACCAACATTGTGGGTGAAATGGATATTCTTTGCGCTGACAAAGGCTGATCTTGGCGACAATTGTTGATGTCAATACAAAAATAGGGACTTTCACATTTAATATTTAAATAACTATTGAAGCCTATTGAAAGTAAAGACAAAGAAGGCGAATTGGTTGTGATTTCATGGATATTTACATATTCGCCATCAGAGTAATAAAGGGAAGCCGAGGCCTCCGGTGAATCGGATTCGTGCCTGTCGGCGTATAGCAGAGGAACCTCCTCTTGCTCGTGATTTGGAAATCTGTGGACACCTATTGTTCAAATAAACAAAATTTTATAGATTGTCCCAATTTTATTCCAATAAAAGAAATAGGGGGGAGCGGGAGGCAGCTGCTCGAGAAAAGCTCGCTCATCTGCAAAGACCGATCTGCCAATTTGCAATATGGCAAAGTGCTAAATGGAAGAGTGAAAATTTTCGGTATTTGCAATTTATTCCTCATGGGCATTCACGGCTTATCAAAGGTCATCAGCGAATGCGCACCTCGCGCCATTAAACAGCATAACATTGGCGAATATTTTGGCCGCAAGATAGCAATTGATGCCTCCATGTCGATATACCAGTTTTTAATTGCCGTTCGATCTGAGGATGGGTCCATGTTGGCGGACGAAAATGGAAAGACAACAAGGTTCAACACTGCCTAGTTTACATGTAGTCATCTTATGGGACTTTTTTATCGAACCATTAGAATGATTGAATGTGGGATCAAACCCGTGTACGTATTTGATGGGGCTCCTCCAAAGCTCAAGACCGCCGAAGTAAGGGTTCCATCTCATTTCACAAAGTTAGATGATCGTCTAGCGAAAAGGGAGGAAGCAAACAAAGAAATCTTGAGCGCACAAGCTTCTGGTACCGCTATTTTGATCTTTTATTTACTATCAGACCAGCCCGAGGTTGTTGGAAAGTTTATGAAACGCACTGTAAAGGTAACAAAGGAACATATTGCAGAGGCAAAGAAACTATTAACGCTTATGGGCGTTCCATTCATACAAGTACGCGGGGGTTTTATCATCTTTTTTAGGCCCCTGGGGAGGCGGAGGCCCAATGTGCAGCGATGGCCAAGGCTGGACTGGTACCCTTTAAAATTACCTGAACTTTAGGTTTTTGCCACAGGATCGGAGGATATGGATACCCTTACCTTTGGATCTCCTATACTTCTTCGAAATTTAACATTCAGCGAAGCCCGCAAAATACCTATCACCGAAATGCATTTAGATGAGGTATTGGTCGGATTAGGCATGGCCATGGATCAGGTGTGACGCGTCACATTTTCATCAATACTGTGTAGTTTATCGACCTTTGTATATTGCTTGGCTGTGATTATTGTGATTCCATAAAGGGTATAGGTCCCCAAAAGGCAATCAAATTGATTCGTGAGCATGGCTCGCTTGAGAAGATTATTTCGCACTTGAAGGAAAATCCATCTTCAAAGCACGTTGTTCCGGAAAACTTTCCTTTTCAAGAGGCGAGAATCCTCTTTCAGCAGCCCTCGGTTTTAGATGCAGCTGAATTTGAGTCCCTGTTAAAGCCGAGCGTCGTTTCGCAGGATGAATTGATCGCCTTTTTGGTCACTGAGAAGGGATTCAGGTACTCATGATCTCAATATTTATCTATTAGCGAGGAGAGAATTCGATCTGGGATCAAAAAGCTTGAAAAGAACATGACACAGTCGACCCAATGCCGAATTGACTCTTTTTTCAAAAAAAGCAACAATTCAACAAGCAGAATATCGGATACCACCGGCCCTTCTACGGTTACTCAAGTCCATATATTAATGAATTAGGGATCGGCAACCAAGAATAAGAGGGCGAAAAAATAAATTTATTAAATTGGTGATGTGGCAGCAGGCGAAAAGCTCATATTTAAATCGGAGAATTTAAGTTGCTGTTCCCGCTGATATTCATAGTAAAGGGGGAACCCAAGAAGAAATGTTGACGTGATGGAAACCCATGCAAATTTTCTGGAAAAATACAAAAAATTAATCACCAGAGCCCTTGAGCGGGTGAAAAGAGAAAAGAGGTAAACCCTGACGTCATATGGTATCATATATTTAAGCGCCTTTACTCGATCAACGATGCTTTCGTTTTCGATTGAACAAACGGAGTGGCGATCATCATCATCATGGTCGCCAAAGCCTATCAGAGAAGTTTTGGATTGTTCGTTCAACAGGTATTCATCATCTGAAGCATCGGTAAAATCGCTGTCATCCGAATTTGTCAGCACAGATGCCCTGGGATCCTGAGCATGTATATTGTCATGAATTTCGTGCACACGGACCATATTGGAAAAAAGATTAAAAGTTGTAAAAACGGCCCAAGTTCAAATTAGCATTGAAAACGGTCCCCATTCAACAAATCTGAATCTGATTGACTTTTACATTGCCATTGGACAGGACTATGGTCTGATCTATGATGCATAAAGTTCTTGAAAGGGCCACTTTTCTTTTCTACGCCATCGCATCGTATTTGATGACCCATACACAGAACATTTTCGTTGCCACTCACCAGCTTCCATGGGTGGTTGTGGTCCAGTCTGAAGATCCGTTAGAATTTGTGATCAAGAAGAGCGACGAGTCAAGTGGCCTATATTCGGGATTGCATTCACTGTCTAAGGTACTGGATTTTAGCTCAACATTAGACCAAGGATTTGATATTTGTTGGCACGCTGGGAAATCTCCCGGCAACCCTATCTAGCTCAAATCTTGAGCACATCAAAGCAAAGCTGCTTGAGCCTCCTTATAATTCGATTGCCATTTTGGCACCTCCAAATATCGTCGAGGGACATGAAATTTATTCGACGTTGATTTTGCGCCCTCTTTTGCATTATGTGATCTCGAATGCAATTATTGCTAAATCTGAGGACGAATATTCTAGCTGGGATTCGTTTGTCAAGCTGAATGCTCTTTTTGCTGAAAGCATCGCTTCTTTGATTAAAAAGGATGATATTGGTATAGGCAACGCCTCTTAATTACCTAGTCTGGGCGATTGATTACAAGCTTATTTTGCTGCCAAATCTGATCCATAACATCAATCGCGATGCTGTTCTTGGATACTTTCACTATGCCCCGTTCCCCAGTTCCGAAATATTGAGATGTGTTCCCCAAAGAAAGGACATAATGTCTGGGCTGCTTGGGACTACTCTCGTTGGATTTCAAGTTACCACCTAATCGATCCTAACGATGTAGCATTATTCATATGCAAGCCACTTTCTCAGCTGCTGTACTCGTCTTTTGGGGTTAGAAACCTTTCCCACTGGAGTCAATTTTAACGACCGCACAATTTCGGTTGGCATCTTCCCTACGGGAGTCAATGTTGAGGAGATAGCGTCACTTCGAGACTCTTCTGCTGTGCAGGAAAATATGAAAACCCTTAGAGACTCTTTTTGCACAAAAAAGATCATCATTGGCCACGAGCGGCCATCTCAAATCAATGGGGTGTGGCACAAGCTTTGCTCTTTTGAAAAATTCATTGAAAAGTACCCGGACTTGGCAAAAAATACGATTTTGATTCAAATTACATCGAAAAACACGCTTTCCGAGTCCTCAAAAACCGAAGACAAAACATTCGAATTTGTTTCCAAGATAAACGCAAAATATGGGTCCATAGACCACCAGCCGATTCATTATTTTACGCATCTATTTGAAAGAGAAAATTTTTTGGCTGCTTTGGCAGAAGCGGATGTTTGTGTGATCACTTCTGAAAGAGATTCTACCAATAATTTGGCATTCGAATATGTGCTTTGCCAGAAGCAACGTCAAAGCCCACTAATAATCAGTGAGCTGATTGGAAATGCAGCCAATTTTACCACGGCCCTGCAAGTAAATCCATGGGATTATCAGGTTTGAGTTCCCCCGTTACGGTTAGGGTGTTGCAGATAGTATTTATAAAGCCCTCACCATGTCAACAAAGGAAAAGGCTTTTCGATTTGAGGTACCTTGGAGCTTTCTTGATTTTCCCAGCAATTGTACAGAAATGTCGTCACTTGCAATATCAATGATTGGGGAACTATTTTCTTGAACGAATTGCAAGATCTTTCAGCTGCCATCAGTTTTACCAAGACCATTCACCTGGAAAGCTCTCTAATTGTGGCAGAGTATTGCAAGGCCAAGGAATGTCTTTTACTGCTCGATTATGATGGGACGCTGGTTGACATACAACCTGTGCCATCAGCAGCCACTCCTACTGCAAGATTGCTGTCCGTTCTTGAGCGGTTAGCTGGTAACGAAAAAACTCATATTTTTTTGATATCTGGAAGAGATCAGCAAACACTTGACGAATGGCTGGGGCACATTGCAAATCTTGGATTCAGGTGTGCTTTTATATGCAATTTTTTAGTGCAGAGCATGGGTGCTTTTTGAAGATGCCAGGAGAGCTCTGGGTTAATCAATTGGAGGAATTGGATATTTCGTGGAAGACCGATATCCTTTCGGTTTTCGAATATTATACTGAAAGAACACCAGGTATGGCCTTTATACCAATTTTTAGGCTCGTTTATTGAGCACAAGCGATCCTCGATTACTTGGCATTTTCGTCTGGCCGACCCGGATTATGGGTAACTTGGGATGATGTTGTAACGTTAAGATCTTGGCAGGCCAATGAATGCCTAAATCATCTTGAAAGTCTTATTGCTGGAAAGGGCGAGTTGGAAATCCTGCCCGGGAAGAAAAATTTAGAGGTACCATTAAAGACTTGTCCCAATCATAGGTGCGACCAAAGCTGGTCAACAAGGGCCAAGTTATATCTCGCCTATGCCAAATGTATCCTGAATCCGATTTTATCTTTTGTGTTGGAGACGATAGAACGGATGAGGATATGTTCAAGTGCTTGAAGAAACTTGGCAAACATGCTTATGATTCTACATTTTCGTGTACCGTTGGTGCCAAGCCGAATTCAACGCAAGCAAAGTATTTTCTACGTTCTCCAAACGAAGTCCTAAATGTACTGCAACTGCTTGCCTTTCAACCAAACTAATGCCTTTAAATCTCTTGCAATGATTACTAATAAATTTCGAATGCTAAGGTCAAGTAGAAACTTTATTTCGAATGCTAGGGTCAAGTAGAAACTTTAGTCCTCTGACGGTCGTCAACATGGCAAGAAGAATTTGGGGGCATTTCTTTGGTGACAATCTTTAGTGGCACCACGGCAGGAAGGATAAAGTGATTGTCGCAATGTGGGCAATATTCGTCAGAGTCCTGATCAAAATCAGACAGGTCTTTCCTGAACACTTTTCGGCATTTTTTGCATGCAAAGCACAACTCGATCGTTTTGCTTAATGCGTGGCTACCTGCAGTTGCTTCCTCGTGACATTGGGGACAGTCAAACCACCCTTTACAGCAGGGAGCCCTAACGGAAACCTGGGCATTGATAATGTGCTTGCACATTTAAAATGGAACGACATGAATTAGTAAAATTTAATAACATAAAATTATAGGGGCCTGCTTAACAAATCAATCATCACATATCCATTCCCATGCCGCCCATGCCACCCATGCCACCCATGCCACCCATGCCACCCATGCCACCCATGCCACCCATACCGCCCATTCTACCTGAGGGCTCTGAAACCG